CATCACAACACGTTCGGCACTACAAGAAAGCACCCACGAGCCAACTGCTCCAGTCGACAGATGGCGTGAGACAGAGGGACTTTACCTGGTCTCCTCGGCAGCTTCAACTGGATCTGGAGCTACGTTCAGTCTGACAACCTGATTCGGGGCCGCACGCACCTATTGAGCATCAATTGCTTCCAGGAATAGACGGTGTAACTCTGGTCTAAAACATATATGTTACAGGGAAAACGGAATGAGCCACTGTCCCGTTTGTAAAGAGAAACGTAGTGACACGAAACTTTCCCAGATGGTTCATGGCGGTGTCGCTTCAGTTGTTAACAGCTTGTCTGTGGAACGCGGGAATAAGATGAAACCAAATGCAGACGTCCGCCTAAATCCTTTTGTTGTGAAGAATTCGAGGATTCGCCCGCCATCAAAGTGAATTCGCCTCCTTCAATTCATGTCTCTTTCCGCCTGTATCTTCATCTATTGCACTTCAATAAAGTCAGACTTCCTTCTACGCATATGTAGCTCATTAATGCCGGTGCACAACGCCCCCAAGATGAAGAATTCCATTGCAACCTTGTCTGCTGGCTGGATTATAAACTTCTTGTCATGGAAAGAGCGGTTTCGCATTTGTGAGCAAAGGAACTCGATTTTGGGGTCCAACAGCTTATCAAGCTCATAAATACTCAAACGCAGAGCATCAACGCCAAGAACGCGCGACATACATCTGCAGACTCTGTGTGATTTGTAGGTACTGAAGCATTGCATCATCCGATCGAACAATTGCTCGTCGACTTATTCGTACTCTTCTTTTCTGTAAATCAGTCGATTAATTGGCAACTTTCAGCAACACAAACGTGGGATGCCAGTGAGACAGCGGTGTTTGTTGGACAATTGATTTTCCTAGACAATATGTCGCTTTTAACTAACGACCAACGAAGAACAGGCCGCAGATAGAGAGCCCACTTCGGCTGGAGCAGAAGGATTTCAAAAGCACTTTGTGCATAAAAGTCGTCAAAAAAATGTCGGTTTCACTTTCTGCTGCCACCAGTGTAGCGTCCCGAGACTTCCTGACCGATATAAGAAGTCACTAAGTGCAGCTGGATACATGTATTCCGAAAACGACAGGGCAAATGGGCCTGGGCATGGTCCGAAGGCCAGCCCACGTGTACAAGGGCCAGACAAATCCTAAAGTGACTGCCAAACGTCATATGGTCACATAAACAAGGTATTACAGTTCCATTTGGCTCGACTTGCTCTAGACTGTTTGTGCCAGCTTTTCAGGCCAAGCCAATGTTCCACGTCTTCTCATTCCTCTGAATACGATTATCTAACCCTACTTCATGCATTCTTATAGATGGGAAGTTCAGAGACGTTACGTTGCTATGGTATAGACCAAAGTGCCCTACGCATGTAAATGTGAATCTCGAGACCTGCCGCTAGGTAGAAGGCATTAAATAAAGTTTAATACACGTAATCTAAAAGACGAAGAAGTGACTGGACTTTAGCTTGGCTGAAGGTCAGCTTACGCGTACAAGAAAAGGACAGATGCCAAAATCCCAGTTGGACATACAGCTGGTCACATAAACGAAGTGCTAAAGTAACAGGCTTCTGCTTCGCGGATGAAGAGCTTATACTCCAGTGGTGGAAACTCCCAACTCTACACAACGGAGAGGCGGAGAACAGCTTCGGCGTCTTGTACCTTTTCCACTCCCGTGTTCTACAAGCAGGCTAAGAGGGAACGAAACAACGCCGCCTTAAAACTCTTGATGCAGTTTCTTATCGGATTTCCCATATCATATTCTCGTAAAGATGTCAGCGGTAGTATTATGCTAGGCCTCCTGCCGTATGTAACTGTGTTCGATCCCAAATATTCTTTGCTACAAAATTTTTCTTTAGTCATTGTTCCAATATCTGACTCTCAACAAAATTTATGGTCAATACGAGTATTGTAGGACCCGCCTGCCTCCCCTAAGACCCCTGAGCCTCGGACCTCATTAGAGATGTGGTTCAGGAATGTTTATTAGACGTCGTGTACGGAAAGAATGCGAATGAGGGGAAAATCGGTCGGACGGGAAGTCGATGTCAACCTGGGAACGTCCATTTAAGCTCCTCACGAAATGGATTCGTGCTCGAATTCCTTTTCCGCCTCTCCTTCATCAAGGCCGATTTAAGCACACTAGTATCTATTATGAGTCCCGATTCTTGCCGTTTGGCTGAATGTAGGTTCAAAATCCATCTGAAACTGCTAATAAGGTCAAGCACATTTTTCAAACCCAATGACTTGTACAAATGACAAGTAAAGCACAGAATACCTTCTGATGTTCATCGCAGGTGTGTCAAGGAGAGTGTTGCTGACGTTGCTCAAAGGAAGAGGGTCATTGTAACGCCTTATTTGTGCAACTATCTGTATGAATGGTGGCAACTTAAGTGTCTACCATGACCTTGGCTGAATGGACCGGATTTAGGGCCAAGCCGAGGCCTAACTTCTTCCTCGTCTCCCTGAAAAATGTTTCCTCCCCACATAATGCTTTCTTCTACCTGGTGGGAAGTTTGGGTGTTACACTTCCCAACAGGTATGCATTTGGAGGGAACTTTGATCTTCAACTTATTAATTTAATTTCTAAATGACATACACTATCTTTTTGGTCCTCAATTATGAGGTCAAATTCCATCATTGGGGAGATCCGCATTTGTAAGCCTGATGAGTATAAAGGTTTGCTGTTGCCTGTCAAGGATTTACTAACTTCCTATTCATTAGGATCTTCGTTTCATTCCCAGCCCCGCCATTAGCCTTTCCACCATTTAAATCGACTTCAAGAAACTATTCTAATTGCATATTGCCAACCGTGGCTATTTGAGCAGCGAATGAGATATTTGGGGTATGCATGGTTCATTTTTGATGCCAATTGGTTGGGGCATTTCGACCTATAAATGCATTCAATGTTTTGAGCCTGTTTTTTCTAAGTGGGGTCATGGATGAGGGGTTGGACGTGAAGAAACTCATAAATGATGGGAGACTGGACTTAAAACTGTTTAAACAAGAATGTTCCACCCTCAAAAATACGCTTAATACCGCATGGCAACACAAAAGGTCGAAGCAATCGGTATGGATGAATAAGTCACGTGCAGAATGTTCAGATCTCTGGCAGTGCCTTTGGCAAGCACATAATTGCTTTAAAAGCCATAAATCGCAGGACTCAACTCAGGATCAAAGATCTCCGTGAGGCTACTTATCAGGTGCGTTGTTCAATCCGGCTCAATGGTCTCAGAAAAAGTTGGCAGTTGACCAAAAAACGCGACAACTTCAAAATCTGTTTTATGAATTGGAGCATCTTAAAGAGTCCATCCAAACCTGCCTAGGATTTAGGTAGTGTCTTTCGCTGTTTTGATGCATCAGATCACTTCATGAGGAGATTAACCTTATTCCGGAGGAAGAATATGCCAGCGCTGTTGGTACCTCAGAGGCTTGTAACTCAGAGCACCAGCAAACACTTGATCGTCTTTATTGGGAATTGGAACAGAGGAAAAAGTTACTTGAT